TAGAGTGTTTCAACATAGTATAAACTCATGTGTTTCATTTTCTAGAGGTATTTTGGTACTTAAATGTAACACATATTTAAATGTAACATAAAAATACTAAACCCAAAGAGGATACATTTTTCCACCAGATTTATAAAATAGTACTTTTTAGAAAATAATGCATACAAAGAAAATCTTACAATAGGACCAGATAAAAGCAAGATTAGGAAAATTGAGGTATGAGCAACGACATTAGAAAGAGCAGATTAGTAAAAACAGGGTATGTGGAGGACATTTGTGAAGTATTAAATATGGGGTGGTAATGGATAAAGGGTGTAGTTATTTTCTCAATGTTTTATAATCATCCCTGTGATTATCAAAGTTAGAGCCATTCTGTGAATGTCTACTCAGTATTGAAAAAGATATGAGAATCTGTTTGAAGATAGGAAGTGGTGACAGATGCTGTCCACTGAACGTAGGCTTTCAGAAGCTATAAATTCCATGTGAAGATATGTTTATCCATTTGGAAGTGCTGAGCGGATTCATGCAAGGTAATTGAATGATTAGTTGTATTTAGAAAATGTTAACACCTATAATTTCAGGGGATTGACTAGGAAGAAGACTCTGTGTCAACAGAAGTCAGAGATCGTGTAAAACAGACCTTGTAAATCATGTAGAGAAGTTATAAAATAAGGATATTCCAGATGAAAAAATATTAGGAGACAGGAAATTGGCCAAGGAAAAGGAAATGGGCTTCAGGAAGGAATCTGACATTTGACTAGAACAAAAAAGTAATTTTATGCAGGAATCTAAATCTTAGGCTAGAACAAAGAAGCCAGCTTCATGCATGAAAATGACTTTGGGCTAGGGTAAGGAATAGGGTCACACATTTTAGTCATCCTGATAAGCCCTTAGAGACAGTGATCATGGGACTGATCATGGGACTTTGTTTATAGCCTTGCTTGTTATTTGACTATTTGTGTTTTATGTCTTGCTTGTTTCTTGACTATTTGCACCTATTATATTGCTAGTTCATCAACCTAGAACTGACCTTAATATTTGCATGTAATTAAAATGGCACAAAACAGATTAGGAAAAAATAAAAAGTAAAAATAAAAAACAAAAACAGAAACAAAAGACATGGAAATGGGAAAAAAACAAAACAAAAATAAGAGATAAGGGGCATCAGAACTTCCAGTGTCCAATTATGGTGAATACACTACTTTTGAGATTTCTATATAAAGTAGGAAAGCAGAGGCTAATTATATATATCACTAAATTTTGTTACTAATACTGTGGCCATTGTTTTCATAGAAACAGACACTATGAGATTCAAGACCAGGATAAAAAGAAGAGTGATTCTTTAAATTCCCATAAACCAGTTCTCTTCAATGACTGATCCTCTCTTTTTTTCAAGAATAATTTTTACTTTTTCTGTGAATACCTGTTTCATAAAGAAGGCAGAGAATGTGCTGAATCCCCATGCCTTGGGATTTTAGATGGTTATGAGCCACAATGTGGGTTCTGGGAACTGAACCCAGGTCTTTTGCAAGAGTATAATGTGCTCTTATTCACTGAGCTATGTCTGCACTCAATCCAATTTCCCATTCTATTCTTAATTCTATCATCTTTTACTTTTTGTCTGTTTAGTTTGCTTCTTTAGTTTCTTTTATACTGTGTGTGTGTGTGTGTGTGTGTGAGAGAGAGAGAGAGAGAGAGAGAGAGCAAGAGAGAGAGAGAGAGAGAGAGAGAGAGAGAGCACTTATGTGACTTGGTTTTTTCCTTTGTCCATGTAGATCATAAGGTCAAGGTCAGATTGTTAGGCAAGGTGACATTGACTTTCCCACTGAACCTCTTCTGCATCTTAACACCTGTTATGATGGAAGCTGTATTCAAATCTCTTCTGAAAGCTTGTTCCTAGTCTTTATCACTTGATAAACACATCAAAATATTAGGCAAAATTTATGGTGCTTCTGACTACATGAGACTGTAGAACTTTAGTAATGTAAACTCCAAATTCCTGGACATTAAGATTAATTTCCCAATTAACATTGAATCTGTATGTCTGAGGTTCAATGGAATGTTCAACTATTTTCTGAATTTTACATTATCTGAGCTTCAATAGTGGAGATATAATAAGTTAATAACTAATGTAAAACAATAATTTATATATTTGAAAATTTCTAACTCTTTCTTGACATGTTTAAGGATAGTTTAAGAAGAAGGAAGGGAAAAGGAATCAAAACCAGTGGTATCTGCCTTCATGAACTTAAATTCTTTCAGAAATATTGTGGCAGAGATTGGAATTGATTTACTGGTAGATAGGTTAGCCATTAAAGCATTGTACCTAGATGTTGAATATTCACTGTACTGTAGGACAATTATTATTTAGTAGATACTAAAGATGTTATTAAATAAAATAATTCTGATGAAATCAGTACTGCAATAGATAGTACCCTAGAAAAAAATTAAACTTTTAAAACTTAGAAATGTGATGGAAAAGAAAAAGTAGAACTGATATGAGGTGGTAAATGTAGTTGTGGCAGTGTTGTAGAGGTGTATGATATTATCTTGAGAAGGCTATCAATTAAATTGTAAGACTGAGGGTGGGGAGGTGGGAGTAGGTGGGTGGCGGTACATCCTCATAGAAGCAGGAGGAGGGAGGATGGGATGGGGGGTTCCTGGGTGGATGAAAATGTGGTAAGGGAATAACATCTGAAAAGTAAATCAAATATCCAATAAAAGATAGAAAAAAAAGAAAGTGTAAGACTCTTGGGAGCCTTAGCTTATGGGGACCTCCTGAGTGAATCATATGGAGTCATAAATTGATGCAAAAAGCAAGAAGAATTTTATTGTTCCAATGCATTGTGGTCATCCTGCACCCTAAGGAGAGACAGTGACCCTAGGCAGCCAGTTTGATCAGTTTTTATATAGTTTAAGGGGTAGACTAGAGAAACACTGACTAGGCACAATATGATTGGCAGAACAGTGTGACTTTTAAACTGCTCTTTAGGGAATAACGTGGCAAGGACCTCCCTTGTTTGTAGGTAGCAAAGGTTGGTCCATCCGGCTGAAAGTGTTTATGTGCTCTGGTCCTTCCCTACCTGCAGGTGTGTTCCCTCTCCTGTGGTCTGAGGAATGTTAATCAGCCTCTCCTATCTGGCAAGTGGCCCATGATATTTCCAAAGTTCCTGAGCTAAGTCTCTCTCTTCAGGGTGGAGGGGTGGGGGGAACAAATGTTCCAAAGTTCCTGAGCTAACCTCTTCAAAAGCACCATGAAGCAAGTGATATATGAGCAGAAAACTAAGAAAGTCTTGTATATATGAAGAATGTGTAAAACACGGCCAGATGGATAATAGCGATAATGCTGATAATGATAATTTGAAGAAAAAAGCAAGTAAGGGTAATTCAAGAAGGAACTGGGAAAATAGCATAGTATCTGGATTTTATTTTGAAGTGGATAAAATGAATTAAAGTATTAAAGTAGGAGTAGCTTATTATGACCATGATTTTAAGTATGTTGCTGTAATTCTCCAACCCAAATATGACCAGTCAAAGAAAACATAACTCAATAATTACAAATATAAGCTGCATGCCTAGATTGGGCAGATTCACCACTACACTATTCTATTCCACAGCTATGAGATTCCCTATAACTTGCAGGTTTTCCAAGCCATGCACTTGTCCTTTCACCTCCTGCTCCTCAGTCTTCTTCCTTCTTCATTGTCCTCCTCCATTGTCTTCCTCCCTAGTCATTCTCTCTCTCTTCCCACAAACCTTTATTTCTCCAGCTCCCATTCTGCTGCCCAATCACTGGCTCTAGCCTTTATTTTACAAATTAAGGTGGGCAGAAGGTTCACTAGAATTCACCTGTGTACTGATTCACTCCTCCTCTGCATCTCTTCCCAGGAAAGTGGAATTAACATTAAAGTACAAGGCCAGGGCTATCCACAACAAAATTTGTCATGTGACGTCTACAACCTAACCAATATGAAAAACATTCCTACTGCTGTTGTAGTGACACAAATGTCATGGGAGTAACCAACTACTTTCTGACTGAAACTAAGGTTAGTTCAATAAGATGAAACCCACATCTAACAATATATTAGGGCCTAAACCTGTTCTGGATAAGTCATAGGTCCTATCCATTATCCTGCTAAATGGACATAGTACTACACCACTTATAATGGCTTATCCTTATACTTATAGATTAGTACATTTCCCAACCATCATTAGCACAGCTTCTTTTTGTAGTAGATGGTGATTAATATACAACTTGTCAATTCTCAGAGAATTGGAAACTGTGGAATGTTCAGCTCTAAGTGGAACATCTAATTCACATTCTTTTCTCTCCAAACTCAATAATCATTATGAAAGAGTGTGAGGAAAGATTGTAAGGGCCAGAGTATTTTGTAGTTGACTACAAAATACATACTTTTGAGGAGACAAAAGAATGTTGTAGATATGAACTCACGGTAGCTCTGTTAGCATCTATAAATTCAAACCAGATAAAATATAAGAATGGGTAGGAGAAATGTCTACAGATCTCATCCCTAGTTGAAAAGTTATTGGAAAGTGATATCTATCAGATGGAGAAAAATTAGCCTCTAGAAGGCTAATTATGGTTCAGGGGATTCATGTACAAGTAAGTGTATGCAGACAGCACAAATATAATAATATATGACATCCAAAAGAACATGGAATTGGGAGTATAGGAAAGAGAGCTATAGGACTGAGAGGAGTTGGGGAGAGGATGGGTCATTATGAAAATACAATGTATAAGATTCACAAAGACATATGTAAAGTACAAAAAAAGAGAAATAATGCAAAATATATATACTAGGAGAAAAACAAAATGAGGGGTATAAAGATTAACAAGAAGGATAATAACCAAAAATAAGATGGGCATCACATCACTCCTGAGTGACTGCCACTGTATGTGTGTGTGTGTGTATGTGTGTGATATGTATATATATATATATATATATATATATATATATATATATATATAATAGATTACTCTAAGAAAAGGTTTTCTTACCAAGCTGTCTCTTGAGAGCACCCTTAATTTCATTATTCCTGAGGCTATAGATGAAGGGGTTCAACATGGGGATTACCACTGTGTAAAACAAAGATGCCACCTTGTTCTGGTCTGTGGAGTAGCTTGACTTGGGCATTCCATAAATGAATATAGCAGTTCCATAGAACAGAGTGACTGCAGTGAGGTGGGAGGTGCAGGTTGAGAAGGCCTTGTGGCTGCCCTCAGTGGAGTGCATTTTCAAGATGGTAATGAGGATGTAGGTGTAGGAGATGGCTATAATAAATACTGTGATAATAATAACTGAGGCAGAAAACACTGAAGTAGCAATTACAGAGACACTGATATCAGAACAAGAGAGTTCCACCAAAGGAGCAAAATCACAGTAAAAGTGATTGATTCTATTCGGTCCACAGAAGAGAAAAGAAAAAAAAGAAACTATGGAAAAGGAAGCATTAAGAACCCCCCCTAAATAAGAGCCTACAACCAACTTGGCACAGGTTTGTGTGGACATTTTGGTGGAATAAAGCAGTGGGTTGCAGATTGCTACAAAGCGATCATAAGCCATGGTGGCCAGAAGGAAGCATTCAACTGTTCCAAAGAAAGCAGCTGACCCAAACTGTATACAACATCCAATGTAGGATATAGCGCTTTTCTCCTCAAGGAAGTTGACAAGCATATTGGGTGTGACAGTAGATGAGTAGCCTGTGTCAACAGATGCCAAGTGGCTGAGAAAAAAGTACATGGGGTGATGGAGCTGGGAAGAGACTCTAATGAGAAGGATGGTGCTGAGGTTCCCAGACACAGTCACCAGGTAGATGCACAAGATGATGGTGAAGAGGACAACTCTAAGCACTGGGTCATCTGTTAGGCCCAATAAAATGAACTCTGTCACTGCAGTGTGGTTCCTATCCTCCAGAAAAGCCATGGGGCAGTGTAACTGCTTCCAGATCAAGGCTGTGATGGAGACAGAAAAGGAAGGTATTTATAAATAGTTCACTTGATTTCATTTAATACAATCATAAAGAACATCAGAAGCTAATATATTTTATTCAAAAATTGTGCCAAAAATGATATTACTTACTATTTTCACTTTTTATATATTTGTTTGAAATAAGACCTTCTAAATTGTTTAAGCAGAAATCTTACAAATATGTGATAAATAATATTTACATATTATTTTTGTTTTTATAGTAAATCAAACATAATTGTTAATAAAGGTGCAAATTTAAAATTATGAGACATTGCCTGGTAAAACAGCTTCTCTCATAAAGGTTCTCTTCACCAAACCTGACTACTGATTGCCAGAGTTCAATTGCTGGAACTCAGGTGATGCTAAGTGAGAAACAACTTCTGAGTATTGTTCTTTGGCATGCACACATATACTATGGTTCCAGCACCATTCTCTTCACACAAATGAACAGATAAATATACAATAGCATGAGACTTAATAAAATACACTTGTTATAACTGTCACAAATTATTAAAATGCAAAAGAATAGGATTATTCAAGGAAGACTTAAGTTTTGCTAAGTTTTATTGGATTCTTTCTACATCACCAGTACAGGATTTACAATTTTGTGTATGTTTCTAAATTTTTTTCCATGACCCATTAATATCTGTTACTGTTTTTATTTTGAAATAGAAATCAGTTTTAAGTTTTAACATAACAACAAGTAACAGAATTAAGAAATGGATCAATGAGAGGGGAAGCTCTTGGTCCTGTAGAGGCTTAACGCCCTACCATAGGGGAAATGCTAGGGTGGTGAGTCAGGAGTGAGTGGGTAGATGGGGAAGCTCCCTCATAGAAGCAGGGGGTATGTTAGGGCATTTGTAGAGGGGAAAATGGGAAAGGGGATAATGTTTGAAATGTAAATAAATAACCAGTAAAAAATTTAAAAAAGAAATAAAAAGAATGTTTTGACTTGTAGAAAACAGCACTCATACAGTTTATCATAAAAGTTTGTAGTTCAAGTTCTAGAGAACCAATGAACTATTCTGATATTCAAAGGCACTAGTCATGCACGTGTTTTTATATATATGTACATATAGAGCAGACCCACACACAAATTAAAATTCCAAATCTTTAAAAAGAGAATTTTATGTAAACAAAAAAGCAGAATCAATCTATTTTATTTAGCACACTATAAATAAAAGGTGGCAATGCAGTTGAGAATGCATACAAATTATGGGCATACAGCATGGTAGCATTTCAGCTTTCCAATAATTGATACCTAGTGAGAAGGTCTATGTTGGTGACACTGATCACAATACTATCATTTCTGTAAGTAAGATCATGTCTTGATTAAAGTTAAAAAGACTGATAAATTTCCTCCTTAGAACTAAGAAGCTAAATAGAGATCACACTAAATAATAAATGCAACTACCTATTGTAAGCTCATCAAATATTTTAAATGATTCTAAGTAGATCATCACTTGTCAATATAATTTAAAACAGTAAATGTGTTTATCAAATTTGAATAATATTTAGTACATTGTGATACACTTTTCATCAAGGAACATTTCTTTTCCCTATGTCATAATATTTTTAATTGTTGTGTGATAGAATAAATTCACATAATTTTCAACAGAACACACTGCTCAATAATTATCCAAACAAAGCCATTAATAAGTTTAGAAGGTTCACCTAAAAGGTGACAGACCACTCTCATCCCCCAAATTCTATATTTACATCTTCATTTGTACAGAGTGTTCCCTGTTATGCTAGACTATTAAGTCTATAAACAAAGTAGGACTTTGCACATGTTATTCTCTAAATGTAAGCCACCAAAATGTTTTAAAGCAAGTGCACATTTTAGCCTTTTGGATAAATGCCACATGTGTACACACATGTGTACAAGTTCATATTGGATTCCAGTCCTACCAATGGATGAATAAACAAAATGTCTTGTAAAACTAACATTAATGCCTGATCATTTTGGATAATTTGCCTATGAAATATATAGAGATTATATAAGATTGACTGTTATGCTCTTTTGCAGAATTTCTTGATACAATGTGACTTGTCTCTCTACCATAATTCATAAACCTTAAAACTTAATTTCAAAGCTTACAAATCTCAAAACTTACCTCTTCAATCAAGAATTCATTATGAAATAATAAGCTTAATCCTATTATAATTTTATACCTACAGAGCTGTCTCCATTATCATTGTTTGTCTCTGAAAGTAAGTCACTGTATGGGCACTGGATTCCAGTGTGAGTTTAAAGCACCAGGGATCATTATCTTATTCCCAGTGAGTACTAAACTGTTTATTTTACACAACCACAACTAAGTTCAATGAGCCTTTCAATCTCAAGTAATCTCTTGTTTTCCTTTTTAGGTCAGTATTGGTGCACTTTTACTTGATAATTATTGGATGTACATAATAACAAATTATCTTAGGTAAAATGAACTTCTTTCTTTAATTCATGTATACTACTTTTTCTTTTAGTATGTTAGCTGTCGATGTAACATACATCTATTAACAACTATTAGGTACTTTGGTGAATATAGGGAATGATGAAATGCTAAGTTGAATAATTTTTATTTTGAAATAGAAATCAGTTTTAAGTTTTAACATAATAACAAGTAACAGAATTAAGAAATGGATCAATGAGAGGGGAAGCTCTCTCTTAGGCACACACAATTTTTATAGGCAAGAGCATAAAAATAATTGCTACCTAGAAAATAGTGTGTAGGAATAGATATCGATATTTTCAGTAAGAATTAATAATTCATAAATTATATCTCAAACATATGACAGCTGGCCTCAGGTTACATGCTCTAAAGGTGTAGGGAAGGGGCAGTGATTCTCCACAATCAGATCACCTCTCCTGAATCTTACTTTCATTAAGTTCTACAGTGAACCTTTGATATTAACTGATAAAATTGCTTGAATACAGAATATCAGTCAACTTTCACCAAAGTTTCTCCTGTCCTTGCTGTCAGAGAAGAGACAAAGAAATAATCATCACTGAAATCTTCCTAGTCCACTAACCTGGAGTTTGGATGGGTGCAAGACAAGAAAGTTACTGATTTAAAAATGGTAGAAAGTCAGGACCAACAGTGACATTGTCTTCTGACCTTCATATGCATACTATGACATGTAGCCACATGAACTCACATGAACTAAGACATCATACATTCACATATAACACACACTCGTGTGCACACACACACACACACACCATCATGTTTTGTAAATGAGAGTTAGAAGAGGTTGAATTTATACTACTTTATAAATGTATTCTTGGGTCATGTCAGAATCAATATAAGTTTATGATTCAAGTCCGAATGAATAATAGGATATATTTTATATGACTGCCTCCAGTGAGGTTTCTCAACCACATATGGGGGAATTGTTCCTTTATTCTTTTCTCTCAAAATAAGTGTTGAATATTTGTTGTAGTTATAGGAGCTGAATAAACACTGAAGATAGCTAATGAAACTTAAACTTTTAGAAAATTTAATCTTCAGTGAAGTCACTAGATCATAAATGCACATATTAAGTACAGAATATGGCAAATGGAATGGAAGAAACATTATTGAGATTGAATTGAGACTTTACTCAGGACCAACAAATACCATGCTATCCCAGTACCAAGACTGAGTGCACCATCAATCATGCTGTTAAAATCAAGATCAGACATGTTGATTCTCATTAAGCACAGTTCCTTTGATTTGATGTCATGTGAAGTATAGAAGCAAGTCTTCCACTCCACACTCTCCTAACAGTTGCCTTTGAGATTGATGTAGAAGCTTCACCTTTTGTCATATTTATCATTAATTTCATATCTTATGTCACATTTTCCAGTATATTTTTATTTTAATTAAAATGTAATTCTATTACTTCCCTCTTTTATTTCTTTCCTCCTCACTCCATGTCCTCCTACTGCTTCTGAAGATGATTACTTTTTCTCTTTGATTTTTCTGATTATGTATATTGAAGTTAATAAATGTGTAAATACAACCTCTGTAGTTTGCTTAATGCTACTTCTGTGTATATGATATTGACCATTTTGCATTTGATAATAAATTAGAGAGCTCATTTTTGGAGGTGACTTATTCTGCCTCTAGCAACAGACTGTTCAGCACATGGGAGATCATATCTGATATTAGCAATCTATCCATGTACCCTGGGTGTGTGAGGATTATCATCTCCTACTATCTGAAGTTATGCATCTACTTCTGCCTCTTTACTAGATCAACATAATTTCTGATAGCATTTTAAAGCAAATCCTTGCACTGACAAATAGGTGAAACTGCCATTCCATATCAAAGAACCTTATCTTTGTAACATGAGACTACCATAGAAAATTTCAACTGATTAAAATACAGAGTTCAAATTATTGTAGAGTCCCTCTCTCAATGTATATGTCTGTAACACAATTTGTGCACTGAAGGATAAGTGAAAATCTTGAACGAGGGAATAGAAATATTATAAGAATCAAAGAACTTAAAAGTCGGCTGTACATATATTTCTCCAAGAAATGATGGAGAATCTATACCCATAATATCAACTCAAAAATAGCAGTTTAGATAAGACTTGAACAGTGATAATACCAGTAGTCATGCAAAGGTTGAAAGGAAAATCTCATGGAGTCCCTCTAATAGACTTTATTTTTAATTAAATTTTGATGGTTTCATATATGGATAAACTATTCATATTATTTCTATCCCATGCTTCCACCACCTCCTCATTTTAACTCCTAGTCCCCTCTCAAATTTATAACTTTTTAAATTATTGTTTTATATACAACACACACACATACACACACACACATACACCACTGAGTTCATTTAGTGCTGCTGATATGTATATGCAATTGAGGAAGGCCATTTGAGACTAGATAACCTATCATAAATTTGTCCCTGGAGAAGACTGATTATCCTCCCTTAGCATCCCATTAATTGTCTATAGTTCTT